AAAAAAAAAAATCATAATAATTTAAAAAATCACCATTCATGACAGTGGAGATGAAGGAGATTCTAAAATGATTTGACAGAACATTACTGTTAACAAAAGTTCCAAGAGTTCTACACAGATTTTTCTAAAGATGTATCTGGTAACAAGGCAGACATTTGGAAAGGAAACTTATGATGAGACTGAAGAAGAAGGAAATATTTACAAGGGCTGGGAATTTCCAAATAAAGAGCCAAGTTCCTAATACATTTGTACTGAAATGACTAACTGAGAAATAAACAGAGCTACCTTTGAGTCTGTGAACTAGTGTGTTTTCTCCAAAGACAGTCTTGCCTACGACTTCCTTCTTCACTTCTCCTCCAAGTTTTTGTGTTATTTTTTTTTACCATACAATGCAAATCTTGGATGGAAATAAGTTATTGGAGGAGCTGAGAATAAGTTTCCACACATCCAGGAGAGGATGCAAAGGATATTAAACTTTTGACTTTACATATGTTATCCTTTCAGCATTCTTTGTCTTCTCATTTCCTGATAACTTGCATCAAAACAATGATTGTCTGGAGTCCTCCGTAGGAGAAGAGAAGGAGAGCGGATCAAAAGAGCTAGACTAAGGTTGAGACACATTTTTCATTTAGAATTTACAAATATTAAAAAAGATAAAACCACTCCAAACCCAACATTAAGCATTTTCAGTAACCCTTTCAGGACAGCCCCAACTAACATTCATTTAACACTTCTTTATGATGTATTGATTAAAGAAATAACTGCAATATAGATGGTAAAACACCAAACAAATAGCTATATACTACTCTCATTATACCTTGGAGTTTTTTTGGTGTCAGCAGAATCTACAAACAAGGTATGAAGAGTGATTACAACCTTTAATATCTATAAAACAGTTCATATAACATTTACAGACAGCTAATTCCAAAAAGAGGAAAGATGATAATGGTTCGTTACATAAATCATAAAAGAGACATCCAAATGTTAAGAGTAGACTTCGATGCAAAAGTTATTTTTTTTCTTTTTTAATTGCATAATACAAGATACTTTAATTTATGTTTACCTCCTCCCCATCTCAGACACCTTGCTAAATCATTGCCAGTCCCAAGAGGCAGAATTGCAACTGGAGGATGCTTAAGTAAGTTTGCTTTCTCTGTGAATAAAAAAGGAAAAACATACCTAAGGAACAAAAATCTAATTGTTTGGTAGCAATATAGTAACCACGTTACATTTTGTTTCACTGAAAGACAGAGATATGTACTCTGTATATGGGACCACGCTGTCTACTCAACAAGCATTTAATTGAGTCATTCTATTGTGCAGCCCATTCCCTAGTCCATGTACAATCCTTAATCCTAATTTACATTATTGTTATCAGAAGGACAAAGAATTAAAAGTTGTCCATTGATTTGCAATTTTCAAAGCTATTTGAGCATTACAGTCAGGACCTTGTATTTGCAAAAGGACACTTTACCTCACTCCTTTAAAATAAATAAATAAATAAGCAAGCTCAGAAATATGCATTTGCTATCATCCATTCCTTACATAGCTTTTCTGGTCTAGATCTCTCATAAGAGAGCCCATGATTTTTAATGCTCGTCATCCAAACATTCTGTCAAGTCTTTTGGTCACTCCATCTCCTTTCTCATTTCCATTGTCTTACATTCCCATTATTTTCTCTTCAAGCTCTCTAGTGCCAAATAAACAAACCTTTGGTATAAGAGATGTGTTCCCTAATAAGCACAGGGAAGTTAAAATCTCTAACATCTTAACCTCTGAGCCTTCCTAATTATTTGCACAGAGGAATTTATGACCAAGAAACTGAAAGAACTGGAATGATTACATATCCCACAGCTTACACATCTACCTGTCTGTCATAGCAGTTCTATTCAAAGGACTGTTATTTCATTACCTCCTTATGGGATAATGGAGTATAAATAGAAATTTTGTAGCTGGTTTGTTTCAGTATAGGGAATAGACTTAGAAAATTAAAGCAGTTTGATTGAAATTTCTTGTCTTCTGCAATTTTTTTTCAGGGCTATAAACATTGGACTCATCTAGGGATTTGAATATTCTCTACAATTTGAATATCCTTTAAAATAATTATGACTCAAATTATGATATTTCTAAAATTTAAATGAACATATTGTACCAAATAGTTGCATCCACGTTGATAAATAGTTAAGAGTAATAAATGTGAAATATAAGAATCCTGCAAAAATATGTAAACTATGTTGATTACCTATGCAATCCAAAATCCAGCCGACTGTCCCATCTCCACCACATGCTAGTACTCTGAACTCAGGAACATCTCGAAAAAAATTTAACCTACAAACAGTAAATGAAGATATCTATTTAATAAACATAAATGCACTGTGAATACATTTTATGGCTTAAGACATTTCATTTGACAGTACCTGACAAACCAACATCTGAAATAATAATCAACTCTGACCATGCACTCATTTTTTTTAAACAGAAGACAAAATATCATCCAACAATGAATTATCTGATAAATTTATTAAGAAATTATTAAATGGTTATTATGGTTCACTGGTATTAGAAATGGGTTAGACCTAGTGGCTAATCCAAATCTTTGTCTTAGTTCAAATCTTGTTTCAAACTATTGTCAGAAAACAGTTTCTGCTTAATGAGTAGCAAATGGATATGTAGTCTCTCTAGAAAGAAAAGTCTTAGATGGCAAAATATACTAGTCACCTCTCATGAGGCACTGTCTACAAAAGCATATGAAAATGACATACTTCTGATAGCACACTAACACATAATAAGCTGAGCATTTTGGGGTAAACAAAAAAAATTGTGCACTGTGGCTTAATACAAAATGTATAAGTATCAGATTGAATGCATCCACTTCATCATCCTACAAACTATTTTATAAGTGTACTATCATTGATAATATTTCCCTGGCTATCTCTGCTTCCACAACAACTGAATGTTAAACAGTACCACTGCATCATTATCCACTTCATACAATACCAATTTTCCATAATGCTGAAAAGTGAGGATATATTAAAACACTTCCAAGTTGAAATATTTTTAATTTAAAACATTTTTTATGATAGCTTTTGACATATGCTGAAATTATGCATAAACTGTGATTAGACAGAAACTTTACTGTCATTTTACTTAATTATTACATATGCATGTGCATGTATTTCAACATACATTCTTTTCAGAGACATCTTAATGAATAGCCTACATGCTGGTGATCAGATTACATTTGCAATTTGCAGTCTCCTAGTAAATGCGTGATCATTACAATGTGCAAAAATTCTTAAACATAAATAAATCTGCAGAATAACTTATAATATTTAAATCAAGCTATTTTCCATATGACGCTTTAGTGCTGCACACAGAATAGTGCTTCTGTCTCTAGAAAGCTATACGTTCCTTATAAAATCAAGACCAAATGAAAAACTGCAGACAAAAAGAAGAGTGTGTGAAACAGAAAGTCCAATAGGAAACAACAACAACAAAAAAAACCCCTAAGATGTAGAAGGTCACAGGACAACTTTTTTAATTAGTTCCAGACCAGAATTTCAGGGTAAGTAATACTAGTAAGTCCATCAAATTGGTGTCCCACTTCCTCTAATTTCTTCTACTCCAAAGAGCTCATACCCAATAAAAAGTGTCAAGTACAACATTTCAAGCATGCTTACTCATTCTGTATGAAATTTAGCTTTGCTCTTCTGACCTTTTAAATTCTACTTCACACATCTGAAGGACAACTGCTATAGGATCTCTTCTGATCCAAAATATCACATGCCAAATTACTTTTAGAAAATATATCTTTTAATAAGCATGTGTGCTGAAAGATCCTCTGTTAGAAGTCACACTGCACACTGCATAGTCACACTACAAGAAGTGAACAGTGAGATGTTCTGGCCCCCTGGTGCGGTTCTCCATCACTTCATAAGAATAGGAGAGAAGATAAATGCCTCCCATCACCAGCATTCCCACTTTGACTTAATGTATTGCATCTTCAGAAAGTTATCAGATCTAGTTACACTACTTCCAGTACTGGAAGTATTTCAGATTAATTAAAAATGAAATTGTAGTCCAGAGGTGAGGGTAGAATACTAAGTTCTGTTAATACGTAAGCACTTTCCACCACACGTACTAGATTCAAGAAGAAAGCCTGGGGGAAAGAGTAACACATGTACACACAAGCAAACAACAAGATTAACAAAAAATATCTCACAATATCTCTCACAAATGATGAAAATAAGAATAAAAATTAATTAAAAAAAAAAAAAACAACACAACACAGAAACATTGGGTTGATGTTAATTGTAATACAGATAGGCAGAGAGTAGATTTAAATCTCAGTTGCCCTTTTAATAAGCAGGCATCCTCACCATATGAATAAAAGTAACTTTTTCCTGTTGATTGTATAATCTTTATCAAGAAGAATATAGTTTTCCAAGAAAAAATGGAGGACTGAAGAATTTGACAAAAATGTCAAACAAGTTCTCAATAAGATTCATTCATATTTCCCCTGGTGCATTTTGTTTGCATATGAGTGAATTTCACAAACAATTCATTTCATAGCACAGCATTAAATGCAAATGACTTTTTATAAGTTTAAATGTAAAAGCAATATATATGTTATATAAAAAATACAGAAATATAAATACACAAAATAAATGTAAGTTATAATATTCCTTATATTAAATACTTGTACACATAAACAGATTATATAAGTATACTGCCACATAAACAAGAAGGGCTTCTTTATGCACATCAATAGCAAAAGCAATTCTGAGGAAAATGTGGGCCCACTGGCAACAGAGGACACTAAGGAGGCAGTTACTCCTCCTTGCTTCAGTCTTTACTGATAAAACTGGCTTGCAAAAGGTCTGTTTCACCAAAAGTTTTATCTCTACAATATAAGATTTTTTTTTTGAAGATAATATTTAGATATTATTTTATATAGACTTAATTTTTATAGATATTATAGTGAATAGCTTTCCAAAATCAGAAATTCAAACAGTCAAATAATAGCAAATAGCAGCACTAGAAAGGTACACAGGAACATTGTGCTGAAACAGACTGTAAGCCAAATAACACCTACTCTTCAATCACTTGTAAACAAGCAGCAAGAAACATGAGCAGAACTTCTCCTACTGACATCGACTAAAGGACACACTTCTGATATATTAAAGAATAAAAGATAAAAAAGACAAATATAATGAAATACAGAAAGAAAACAAATGAATGGTTGCATTCTAAGGCCTTAGAATAGCATCACATTTGCTAGGAAAATTGTTTGATGATATCATTCCTGATACCCATTCATGGATATAAACAATCCCCAAGATTTTGTTTATGGGAGACATGTGATTACATGTGGTTTCTTAATCATCAAAATTAACAAGAACTTAACCATCCTTTCTGATGGTGAAGTTCTTGTACCATTAACTGCTGCCTCCCATTTTTTACAATACCTCACAATTTTACATGTTCCAAAAACACGCAGATAAAAAACCTAGAATTAAGTATTTTCATGTCAGTAGATCCCTTGAAAGTTGACCTGCTTAAGTCTAAGCAAGTTTCTCATCTTCTGGAAGTAAAACAAACAAAGTGATTGATAACAGCCAATAATTTTATTTTGCCAGATACAAGGATCTCGGGAAGACAATTACTGAATTTCCACTGTTTTCCACCTGGAAAATGTCAACCATTTCAACTAACCTACTACTCCAGTTCAGTTGTTTTAGATTTACAAAACAAACAGCAACATCAAACATCTCTACATCAGAATCTTGTATTTAAGTGATATAGATTCCCTTTTGTTTTTAGGGACTCCTGTCCCATTCACACTGGCTTCAAAGGTTTTGAGACAATAACATAATATTCAATCATTAAATACATAAAACTTTAAACTTGTAAATATTTTTTCTTAAAGTGTGGCATAAATCGAAGTAATATCAAAATTTTCTTGAATGACATCTATAGCTTTACCATCAGTATGGTAATTATGAATGAACTAGTACTGGAAGAGAACTTATGCTGTGTATGAATGGAAGTGATGAAAGGTAAATAGCCACCCCAAACACCAGTAGCTCAAAGCAAATTAGTCTGCTAAACCTTTGTAAATGGACTTAGACTAATTTGTTAGACATCTCATACTTTCAGACGAAGCCTGTAACTAGGAAACTTTGTCCATTTGTGAATTCACAATGTTGGGTTTAATCTACCAATTTCCAGATGAAAGCACCAAGTTGAAAGGCAAAGCAATTACGTTGTTGCAATGTTTACTCCTTTATTGTACTGACCATATTGCTGCCATTTTACCAAACAAAACAAGTACAATTCCTGACAAATGGTTATTTACTTGACTATGTGAATGAAAGCTAAACACAGTTTTTCCTTTTGTAGACTGACAAGCTGAGCTGGCCATGTAACTGGACAACACCACACACTTTATCCTCATTACAATACTCAGTGACAGTGTTGTGTACGCTATACTGACATTATTCATGACACAGTAATTGTATTAAATCACTGCAGAAAAAAAAAAAAAAAAGTGCCAGTGAATCCAGGTTATCATAATATGGGGCCAAATATTTCTCTCCAGGAATGACATTTCAATGTATGTAAATGTTAAATGCCATATAGGCATTTTGTAGCTGAAAATCTTGTTTTCAGTTAATGAATTCCTAAGATAAAGGTTGTTGGCAATTTCAAATGGTTATCTTGCTAAAGATAACAGAATATTTAGAATATATATATATATATACACACATACATATATGTGTATATATATCCCCATCCAGCAATATATGATCACATGTAATCATTGAGAAACCTTGTGATTATAGAGGAAATTTTAACAGAAAAGTAATTTAGTAATTTATGTCAGGTACTCCACACCGAAGACATCAGTCCATACCTTACACTCAAAAATAGCACGAATGTTTTCCTTCACTGTTTGCTCAAGATGCATACCAAAATATTTTCATAATATAGCAATACAGTCAATAGAGAGACTCAAATTATTCAGATATGGATACTGAACAATACTGACATTATCAAACTTATGCTCTTTGCAAGACTGAAATTTTCTTTACCTGTACAATACCCACAAAATGCATAGTAGCCTCATCAGTTTGAGCGAAGGGAAAGGACAAGCACTTGTGGGAAGGAGAATTAATATATGCTGGATGGAGGTGGAATAAAGATGCTGGATGGCGTAGGTACAGTGAATTTCAGAAAGTACTTAATAGGGGTATTCAAAAGCTTATTTTGAAATGACTGAGAAAAGGGAACCTCTTCAAGAAGGCAAAGGTTAGACAGCAAACTAC